GCTGTGGCAGTCAACAACCTCGTCATGTCAGCCTGAGACTCAGGAGAGACTGTCCTTGAAACACAAAGAACCTCTGATGACATTGATTCAATTCAGCCACTGTATTGTGCTCATTCACAGTACAAAGGGCCAGTATACTAAAAAACCTTTTCAGCACTGACAAGTGACAATAAAACAACAGTGTGCTCTGGGTATCAAAATAAGTTAGTCATCAATGCCTCCCACAATCCCAGACAGAGCAACCGCCATCATTGTTCCCTGCTCATCAACAATTTCAGTCCGGGGTAATGATACACTTAATTATTCTTGGTCCAGAAATGCGCAGATGACACAATTTGGTAACAGAATCCCAGTATTACAAGGTTCCTGATGTGTAATTACACAGATGTTAGGAGTGAATCAGGTACTGTACATGGGCTTGCAGTTGATTTGTGCCATCATGTTTCATCCTGCTTTTCATTTTGAGGCAAGGACAAGCTGATACGCCTCAGTTGCTCTTATAATTATTTCTGCTCCTCTCCCTTTTCCATGCCCAGTCTCTCTGTCATGCTCTCAGTCTCAGCCCAGGCCTGGGTGTCGATCCCTGAGGACATGGCGCTGGAATGCCTATCTTAGGCTTCTGCAGATGGGGATTGGGAACAATCTTAGATTCAATACAATTTTCCAAATAAGACTTAAGAATTAAATGAAATCTTACAATGTTATCTCTCAGGTCGAATTGGTCACTCAAGTGTGTAGCCCTGATAGACTGATAACACAACCCACTTACTTTTTATCATCCACATGCCGCAAATTGCATCTGACTGCATGTGTGCATGATGTGTAGATGCTAGAGTGCTTATGGGTAGTTTATGTCATCCAGTACTTTAGCTCTTCAATCAAAATTGTTCATATAGCAGTGCGTCAGTGTGGTATTCAAAGGATAGATTATAATCCACAGGACAATCCTTGTATTCTTCTCATAATATGCACACAACAACACCACCGTCCCCAGACATGCAAGCTTCAGTGGTTGCCTGTGTTCGCCAGATAAAGAGGAACAATGGTTCTAATAGGCAGCAGAGAGTCTCCACAACCAGTGTTTCAGCTGTGCACATTTGTTCTCACAAAGGCTAAATGTATTTTGAGTGGCAGATTAAGGATATTGGTCAGGGGCTCTGCATTGTCAACTCTGAAAAGTGGGGTAAATGTGTGTTTGGATGATAATTCACACATTCTTAGGCTCAACGGCAGACAAAAAAGACGCACTGTTCTCATTTTTTGGGCAATGTGTTTCACAGATTGTTAATTATGGGTAACATAATCTCATTAAGTCCTTTTGCTTTGCGACTCAATTTCTTTTACAAGCATTAGTCATGATTGAGTAGTTTAGGGGTTTAAGTTCCTCTTTTGTCTGAGTTCAAAAAGTGGCCGTCTTCATAAGGGCTCTGCTTTGTCCTGTTTGCATTCCACAAGGAAGCCTGATGTCCAGCAACAGCACAGTTGTCCTGGTCGAGTGTCTATAATACCAAACAGTCTTGGCCTGGTAAAGACATAAAATGGTATTTGTATGGCATTAATGCAGACAGTTAAGATTCACTTTTCCAGTATGGTATTAGCATGCTTCTCACTGAAAACCCTCTACATTCCTCAGTACAACATACCACTGCTGGAAGAAGTATTTAGATCCTTTAATAACCAATATTTTATAATATCAATGTAATGTGAAACAATGTGAAAACTGAGCTTTACAGCAAGTTTCAGCTCATTGTTCTTTCCTCCAGCCCGCAACTGCTTAGGTTCACTCTCACTGCTCTCATAACATAAATTTCAGCCTCAGCTGTTTTCAGCAAAAAAAAAAAAAAAAGCTGGAAGAAACACAGTACACTACCTGCTTTGCAGAGACACAGTGAATCATGTACAGTGGTGCATTTAGCAGCTAAAGAGACAGATATTTCTATTAGTTGGTGGAGACCAAAAACAGAGCTATAAAAAGTGAATGTTGGTCTTACATTTGCCAGTTGGACTTGCTCCATAACTGCTAAATGTGTAAATAAGCAGTTGTTTGCAAACAAGTTTGCCTTATCATTTTGATGGTATGTCGATGTTGTGTTCTCAACTTGTTTCTGCTGGACAAAAAAGCAACCTGTTGCTTAATTACTAACTGAACAGAAAAGTAATCAATACTTTCTCAAAAATGTACAAGTTTCAGCTTCTCCAATTAAATTATTTGCTGCTTTTCTCTGTTTTATAATTATTATAGTCTAAATATCATCGGTTTTTGGACTGTTGGACAGACAAAACATGACGGACGTGATGAATCCAGAATGACTGAATGACACTTTGGACTGCGGAAAATACACTGAAATGTAAGTGTAAAGTAGAAGCAAATACTGAACGTTGTTGTACCTGAGCACAGTACTTGAGTAAATGCACACTTACTTTCCACCACTGCAATACACAGCTTACTCTCAGTTTATCTGTTTCCAAATGTCCCTTCAAGATGAACATTAACGAGTATAATCAGTTATCTGAGCGTTTTGTAGAACAGATATCTTTCATCTGATTCAGGCTGCCCTCCAGGGACAGGACAGTGAAGCAAAAACTTCCCCTGTTTTTCTCACTACATATTCAGATGTTGGCTGTTTGTGCAAGACAAAATCAGATTTTCAAAAAAAATATCTAAGAAATACAGATGATTTTATTTTACATAAATATCAAGGTGACCTTCATCAATGTTAAAGTAGCTGTTTGCAAAGATTATTGATTTTGAGAGGAGGGTACTCTCTGCCTTGTTTTCACCAAATGATCTCAGTAAATCTTGTGTTCTATCAGGGACGACAGTCAGTTAAGACATGGTGTCTCTTGTCTCTGGAAGGTGTGATTGAGTCCTTGAGAGCTCCTTGGATAGACTGACATGGCAATTGCTCCTCTGTCTGCTAGAACATGTCAAGATGCCCACGTTAGCTGCCCTGGCTATCAGTGTTTATTTTCGACCAGCAATGTGTCATTAATAGCTCTGTCCACAGGGCTGATGAATAAACTCTTAAGTCTCTGGTATTCGCATGACGTTGCCCTCCCTCCGAGTGTAAACATTGTGAAGACAGATTAGTTCTGCTGCTGTGGGTAAAGAAGATTAACAGAGATTATTAACAAACATGCTGGATTAAATAGACAGTATCACTCCCTTCTTTACAGACATCCCAACCGTGTGGTTAAAGCAGAACTTGGGGTGCAGCTGCTCAAACCAGCAGCGTGGTTAAAACATCATGTCTCAGCACGGTAGCAGTCGTCACAGGGATTGGACGCAGAGCTGCCTGGATTCAATCTTCTTGGTCCCAATTAAAATCAGATTTACTGACATCAGTCACAGTTCATCACAGTGATTATGCTCAAGCTGTTCACTGTGGAGATGATACAGAGTTTATGGGAACTGCCACTAATTGGAGGCCTTCACTCTCTCACTTTGTGTCCACTCATTAACCTATCTTTTCCATTGGAATACATGAGGAATCACATATATGCATAATTATATTGATGCCTATATTGTTTTAAATGCAGCTTTAAATAATCACAGTTCTTTTTACATGCTAAAAAACCTGCACTGTTGGTTTATTTACCCCCTAAAATATGGTTTGGTTGCGAACTGCTGACATGTCATTTGTTTCTGGCTGTTAATAATATGTGTATTCTGCAGTTTGGAATGTCACATGCACAGTGGTGGAAATTATCTATGTACAGCAACTCAATTACTGTACAAGTCTGTATCTGTACTTTACTTAAGTATACCAATTTTATTACACTTAATACTTGAATTCTGCCACATTTCAGAGAGAAATATTGTACTTTTTACTTGACTACGCCACTTTGTACAACTAAATTTACATTTGTGACAGTTTTAAAGCTTGGCGTGGGTCAGAATAACCAGTTTATAGAAATAATTTAACAGTAAAATAAAATACATAACACTAACACTGGGTCACGACAACCCAAGTTAACCCAGTCTTGCATTTGTGCTATATTGACCCAAACCGGGCTCCAAAGAGAAGACCACCTACCCATTAACCAAGGACTTACACTGTTTATCTGGTTTTCAGATAATGTTATCTAAGGATATAAATAAACTTATTGATTCACTCACTTAAGCAATTTTCGGCCATCTGAAAAAGGAAGTCAATATGCACCTTGCAGGGACATGATAAGAATGGATCATTTAAGCATACATCTGTAATAATGGCATTGTTCATTTCCTGAATAGCTCCCCCATGTATCTTGCATTGCAGGTGCTCAAGGCCTGGCACTAAGGGGCGGTAATCATGCAATGTGTTAGAATATACAGTTTGACCTGTGGTGGGATGATGTGACCGGGTACAAAATCATACATTTTATCTACTGTCACATATTTTCTCTGTGGTGTGGTAGATGAGTCAGAATCTTTGGTCTTGTGTTATCAGGATCTTCACTATACACATAATAGAATAAGTGCTTTAAAAAAATCTGAAATATCTGGAGGCTTGACCTGTTACTATAGTAAATGTGTCTGTGTTTTATATGCACGGTACATTTTATGTCAGTGAGTCTAAGTAAAACATTTCAGCTCTTCACCTGCACATGCAAATGCAATCTTATTATTAAATGTACTGGGTTCCTCGCACTTATTTGAAAGTTCAGTGCTAAAACATTTCCATATCTTCATTCGGATTTTTTTATGACTGCACTAAAGCTACGCTCCATTCTTACAGATTCCCAAGACACTGAAGATCTATTTTACTGTATGGAACTTGAAGAATGAATAAAGAAGTTTTCTCTAAAAGTAGGAGTTAAATTTATGGGTAGCATGAGGGGATTTCAGGGAAGGTGTTTTAAGAGAGATAGTCGGTAGCCTTTACAACAGACATTTCATTTTCTAATTTTTTAATAGCTGTGCCCTTGGCCACCCATTCACAATATCTGGTGGCCCATGGGAGGGTCAGACTTCCAAATGCAATGCTGTAAAGAACCAAACCACCAATGAAGATGCCTATTGTTCAATTGCAGTTTAATAGGAGGGATGTATGAGTTGTCACATGATGGTGTCCAGTGCCACCTAGTGGTAAGAAGATGATAATAAACAGTCTCATGCTTTGTGTTGTGGGTTTTGACTCCTTATTTTATATCAGTCCCACAGGAAAATTACTTTTTATTCAGCCACTGGAGAAACAAAGAGGAACCATATTAGTTTATAGAGCCATTACGATAATTGAAGTGGAATGAACGGCAGCATTTCTTGATAATTGATGAACAAAGGTCATTAGAGCTACAGTTGTCACATAAGGTGATAATAATAACATACATAAAATAACCATTAAAACACCAAATGTTGATCTGCAGATATTTAACAAAGGTCCAAAGAGTCCAACAACCTCATCCAAAGTAAAAAAACACTCTATACACTGAATGTCCCACTGTAAAGCCTCTGTAGTGTCATATTTCAACATCTGCTAAAATAAAATCATAGTCAGCAGGTTCATCCATCTGTTTCATGTGTTATTTTATCATCCTGGCTTGCTTTAAGTTGTACTGCCTCTTCACAAGTCCTCATCTCCACAGCCACATTCTGACTCCGCTCCTCGTCCAGTTTCTTGTAGTTGTAGTAATGCATGATGAAGAAAAATATGCCGGGCACCAGCATAAACACTCCGCATGCATAGTACATGTATTTGTAATCTCCAAAAGCATCAACCAGAGCTCCTGAAAGAGAAGATACACACTTTATTGGTCACCATTTTATTAATTGTTGTTCTGTAAATGTTTTTTTTTATCTTGTTTGTCTTCTTTTCTATTGCTATTGAATTGAAAATAATAAATTCTACATCATGTTTATGCATTTATAATCTGAAATAAAAATCTATGTCGATTCACAAACCTGAAATTGGAGGTCCAAGAAGCACTGGTCCACATTCGATAATGGTGACAAGTCCAACTGCACTGGAGAAGCGATGAGCTCCGACGAGGTCCATTAGAACTTCAAAGAGAAGTGCAGAAACCATCCCAAAAGCCAAACCGAAGAAGACAGCATAAATAACCAAACCCCAATATCCAGATGCCAGTGGGCATAAAAGGTGGCACACACCATTATATGATACTGCAAAACTGAAAAAGTACTGGATCCGTGGCCTTATCCACCTGGTGTTCCCTATGAGGCCAGTTGCTGGTCTGATAAACATATCCACCAGAGCAAAAATAGAGAGCAAGAAAGCTGCTGAATATTCATCAATCCCTTGATGTTTTGCATAGGGAGCCAGAAAAACCACAGGCGCGAAAAAGCCAAAGAACATGACCACATTACCAATGAGATAAATGAGGAATCCCCGGTGTCTGAAAAGTGAGAGATCTATGAATTTGTGCACACAGCCCTGAGTCATGCTCTCATTTTGTTTTTCTTCAGTGAGGTTATCTGACTGTGCACTGGTGTCCACAGTTGCAGCTTCCTCAGCGGCTGCTCCGTTACACTCTGGTTGTTCAGTCTTTGGTTTCTGTTGTGCATTTTTGTTGACTGGTCTCATCAAAGAACCAGCTACACAGCAGTTCAAGACAATGGATCCAAGGATGAGGAAGCTCCCCCTCCATCCAAAAGAATCAAACAGAAACTGGTTGAGAGGAGCCAGAGTGCAGAGAACAACTGGACTTCCTGTCATAGCAAGCCCATTCGCCAGTGGCCTTTTGACCTGGAAGTAGGTACCTATGATCGTCAGGGAGGGCTGTAGGTTGAAGGCAAGGCCAAAACCTGTTGAAATAGTAAAAATGGAAATAAATAATGCATTTTTCTTGGATCATTTGAATGCACAGTACCATCAATGAAGATTTTCAGACAGATAAAGACACTTTGAGGCTATGACATTACAATTAATAAAAGAAATGCATTCTTGTGAAGAAAACACGAACAACCAACTTAAAGTCTTCTTCATCAGTAGCAGCTTTATCAGAATGATTTGTTAACATTCATTGTCACACATTGTCGAGGGAGGAATTCTGATCATAAAAATATACCATAAAACCACCATGTCCACCTTGAGGAGGTAGGACAATGGCATTTTTAGCTGCTATAGCAATTCAATATTACTATCCAATATTATTTTCTATTATCAAATGTTCTGTTTTCAACAGATTACTCCAATGATCATCTGATACAAAACCCGAAATGTTAAGTAGATTTAAACTATGTGTACTATTGTTAGAGCTGATGTGATTAGTTGATTAATTAATTAGTGAATTGTTAGTACAAGTAATTAATTAAAATTAAAAATTAAAAAAAAATAAATATATAAGTAGAAAACACATACTATTTTCTGTTACCAGCATCTCAGTTATGGCTTTGGCTGACATTTTACACACCAAACAATTTATTGATGAATTGAGAAAATAATTTGCAGATTAATCAGCAATCAAAATTATTGTCAGTTGCAGCCCTAGTTATCATTTGTAACATTATTATGTCCATAGTGGTCGAATACCTTAAAATAAACTCCAAGATAAGACCATGCACTTCACTCATCTGTGATCTGTCACTCAGTGCTTTGCCACAGTAGGTGGATCATCTTTACCAGATTAAAGTTTAAAGTCTGAGAGGTTTGTTTGCTTACTGTTAGTAGGATGACCATGTGGTCTGGAATACTTCCATGCATGTGTGTATTCATATGATTTACAATAGCAAGTTAAGGTCTAACCTAAGTTTGTGTGTTGCTTTCATAGCATTATTTAACAGGACATGGATTTTTCATTGGGATTTGAGTGAATATTTAGCCAACATGTTGCACAGAATGGCCCACGTTAACCCCAAACAGGGGGGGAAACAACACTAGTGGACTGACCCTGACAATCAAAACGCTCCTCCTGAATGGGAGTAAAAACTAGGATCCTCCTGTTTCAGCCAGTCAGGCAACGTAAAGCAAACATTACAAAGAACAGCAACAACCTCAAGAAAATTCCTCAAAATCTAAATGAACTCTAGCTCATCTAATATTATTAGTATTGAAAAAACAAAAACATTATTTACCTCCAATTACTCCAACACAAAGATACAGATGTATGATAGTTTTGCCAAACGAAGCAAGCACCATGGCTGTGCTAACCATGACCCCACCAACCATAACCACAGGTCTGCTGCCATAGCGATTGACAAGTATACTGCTCACAGGTCCTGTACAGAGGAGAGAAAATCTCACTTTTTTGGTACCTTCTTTCTTTAAAGGTTTACAGCACTGAGGTTATATCAGTTTTAATTAAATAAAGGACAGAAAAATCTTGATAGAAGTACATTGATCAGTCAATATTCATAGATACACTGCATGGGAATGTGCAATTTAAAAAAAATTACTTTGTCAAGTTTTTGAAAATGTTTGATGGCCACTGACCTCCTGCGTACATAGAAGCGAGCATGACTGAGGACACCCAGGCAATTTGACTGTAGGAAACTGAAAAATATTCCTGAATCTCCTTAAAATAGATGGTGAGGGACTTGGGAAAGGCATAGGAGAATCCTATGGAGATGAAAGCGCCGAAGACGACAGCCCAGCCCCAGCCTCCATCTGGTGGCTTGTAGCCTAGTTTGTTTGCTGCTGCAGGGGGCATGTTCCTATTCACCGGCAGGCTAAAGGAGAATAGGTAAAAGTAGTGAACATTGTAAAAACAAAAACTTGTAGCAATTGTAATGATCACATATTGCAGTCTACATATCACAAGAGCTCACCACTGCACAATCCTCTAAACCGTGTGGCCCAAGCTATGAACCCTGTTGTTGTACCAGGCTATAGCTCCCCCTCAGAAAGATCCTGGACTAAGGCCTTTGATCTCATCACGTGTGCTTGCATGATAAACAGGAGTGACCACACGCCAAAAAGGGAATAATACAGCTAGAGATCTTAGGACATATATGTATGAATAGAAAAGCTAATGTTGACACCAAACAAGGATAAGTACCAATGTAAAAGTAAAAGTACAAACTTTGGTTTTGTTTAAAAGTTCTTTGTGGGCCTTTGTACTCTCTGTGTGTGTGTGTGTGTGTGTGTGTGTGTGTGTGTGTGTGTGTGTGTGTGTGTGTGTGTGTGTGTGTGTGCAAGTGCTGGGCAAAAGATAAAATCCTGTATCATGAAATGATGTAACATGTCATGATATGGTAAATTTTGAACTAGAACCAGATTGGAACCAGACAGAATGACTGTTTTTGGTTCATCTAGTGAATTCTATCCCTAAAATTTCAAGGTATTTTATTTTATTTTGTATTCATTGCCACATAAATCATGTTAATCCTCTATTGTAGTCCGCACGCAACAATAAAACTTAAAGCAGACCTATAGATAGATAGATAGATAGATAGATAGATAGATAGATAGATAGATAGATAGATAGATAGATAGATAGATAGATAGATAGATAGATAGATAGATAGATAGATAGAAGACTAAGACACATCAAGGGCTAATATCCAGGGCCTTTTCCAAATCAGAATCAGAATCAGAAATACTTTATTGATCCCCAGGGGGAAAATCTGTATGTAATAGCTGTTCAAGATGCTCACGCAATGTTAAATAATAGAAATAATACTTATATTACAATCTAACACACACTATATATAGAATAGGAATGTATATATAGGTATATACATATCAGTAAAAATGAAAAATAAAAATCTCTTGACTTTTTCTGTACACATAAAGCCTAACCTGTTATGAGCACTAATAAGGCTGAAAAGTGGAACAGGGCCACCTCATGGTTTTAAGACTTGTGTAATTTTGTTAGCATTCAACAACAACATATCCCTTGAGTCTTAGCCACAAATGTGTCATCAGAGCCTTGTGGGACCTGTCGTTGTTGAATACTAACAAAATAAGCTGTCTTTTATCTTAATTTAAAATTATGAGACGGTCCAATTTAATTAGCCATTACAGTAGAGGCCCATTTAGTTAGAATATAAACAGAAAACCCCAGTATCGTATTCCAGCTATTCAGAATGAATGATGAAAAGCGCTCTGTGAGAAATTAAAAAAGAATCATTTATCTTTGGTAAATGAGGACACGCTCAAATATTACTAGCCAATGGTGATGAAAAGTAAATTTATTCAAATTAAATTAAGTTACAAATTACTTTGCAGATTCAGATTAATGCAAAAAAATTATAATCAACAAATACATTTTAAGATAAAACTGAATGAGCCCCACCTTTACCTGTTAATGCATCAATAACACATAATGCATCAATAGTTATAATCCAGTAACATAAAGTTCATCATTTTGAAATGGGCCTGCATAAAGAGTACCTTTACTTTTGGTATTTCAAGTATATTATGATGCGTTTACTTTTATACTAAAGATCTGAGTACTTCTTCCACCACTGCCAGCCAATAAAGTTACAGATGCTCATTTATCATAAACTATGAATAATAATAATAATAATAATAATAATAATAATAATAATAATAATAATAGAAAACCTTACTATCATGTTTCAGGTTTTTAAAAAGATAAATAAAAAGATATGAAAGATATCTATGAGAGACAGTAAAGGATTGGGCTGGAGTTAAGCTTTATTCCAGACTTCAGATCAACCAGTGTATCACAAATGAAAGCTACAGTGGAACACAATGGGACCAGCAATTCTTTGGGCTTTGTGGTGGATAGAGGACATAAGACCAAATAAAGTTCTTGGACCTTATTAATGAGATCCTATCTATTTTGTTTAGAATTGACTAGACTGCCTGCTGGGTCTGAAGTTGACCGAAATGAAATAGCCAATTCTATAGGAAAGGCAAATCAAAAGAAAGGAGATACAGAAATATATCACTTGGAAGAGTGGAGGTTAGAGGAAAAATCAAGGAGGGTGTAGAAAGTGTATGGCAGGGATTGTGGGAAAGGGAGAAGCACTAGGAAGGAAGGCACTATTTTTCTTGACAGCCTCAGATTAAAAAGGCCACTTATTGTTATAAAACTCGAAAAGCTTCTGTTAAAATGTGCAGACTGAGGCTCGGGCAGGTTAAATAACTACTTGCACATCCACATGTATGTGTATGTATCCAAAGGGATTATGTGAGCGTGGGTGTCACGAAACAAAAAAGCATGTTTTCCTGGAATGTAACAAATATAATCATTTTCTATTAAATCTTTTCTTTGACCAAAATAAATCACCAGCTGATCACGAAAGCAGTTTAACAGTTCTTACATGAGGCTGTCAGTTAAATGTTTGTCCTAAAGAGGGCAGTAATAAGCCTATTAGCCTCCACACTGCCAAAATCCCACAAGACAAAGAAGAAGCTTCATTTCCCACTAATTTGTGCTTCAGAGAACAGCAGCGGAGTGAGACCTCTCGCAGCGGAGTGAGACCTCTCGCAGCGGAGTGAGACCCGCAGCTGACAAAGAGGAGGACACACTCCTCTCCACGCCTCCCTCCCTCCCTCCCTCCCTCAGTCAGCGGATGTTATTCAACTGCACATTCACAGTTTGCGTGAATTTAACTTTCTCTTACTAAACAGGCGAATATGCGGACGGGAGATAAAGTTATGTTGTAATGCTGTAACATCAGAGATTATTGTTGATCGTTTGTTTCGAGCAACATCACCGGCCGACCTCTGTTTATGTTACTCAACCGCTTGTGTAACACGTGAGTTGTCGGTTTGTAACGTTGGCTACACTGGAGTATTTAGCTTGTGGTAAGTAAGCCATTGTGCTGGGTTCAGTGTATTTTATATAGATAGATAGATAGATAGATAGATGAGATGTTTTCCGTTGTGAGAACACGGGTGGTCTCGGGTTTGGCCACATTGTCCAGTTGTTTAAATTCAAGGGCGGCAACAAGAGCCACACCTGCCCTCCTCTGCAGACATCAGCATCGGACCTTCAGCTCTGAGTCTGCAGGTGTCAAGGTAATCTTCTCTCTCTGTGTGTTACTGCATTAGTAACTGTAAAGCATGCAACATAAACAAAGCATTTCTGACTTTATTAAGTCAACATTAATCTATGTTGCTACTAATAAAGGCGCTTTCACTTTCTGATCATATATTTAAGGGTGATTAGACCCCAACAAAGCAAATTGTGGGACACTGTGGCAGAAGTTACCAGTGCGAGTGAATGTCCATCTTACTTGCAAAAAATGAACATTTCTATTCTGCTTAACTCCTAACATCTCTATGCCCTCTGGTTTCCCACGCAATGTGAATGCAGGAAGCATAAAAGGAAGTGAGGGTTAGTAGTTAATAGTAGTGAGGGTTAGGGTTCATATGATCAGTTAGTCACCTCACACCGGCTTCACCCAGTTCATTTACCAATCTTTGTTGTTGCTGCATTTCCTTTTCTTTCTGGTGCTTTCCATCACATCCCGCCTAAATCTGCACGGCTTGTTACTTTGTGATGATTCACAATTGTCCCTTTTGGGCGTAGCTGGCAAAGACTGACAGGTTAAACTGCATTTGACCCACGTGTCCGCAGTTTGAGTGACATGAGACACAGTCACGTGATGACAACATTCCCTGCTTTCTTCACAGCCATTGGATGAAAACAAAGTGGGACGCACACCTGGTCATCCGACATATATTCAACCTGTCAGGCGGTGGTGTAGTGGATAAAAGCTTTATGTTATTAATAGTGACTTTTTAGACTACTTTTGCATATTTAACTCAACCCGAAACTAGGTCAGTAGTATTTATTTTTTGATTATGTTTGATAATTACTAGGATGATTAAGTAATATGCTTGCAGTAATATACATGAAAATATCCTATCTAGATTTTTTTTTTGTTTGTTTGGTCATGCACAACTTACATCTATTTTTTTTCTTTTCCTAGTGGAAATGGGCTTTCGCAATTACCCCAAATGTTAATTATACTAAATTAGTATTTAAATAATTTGTATCTTCCGAGTAAAATATTAAAAGTACTGATAAAATAGTATTCTGTTGCATAGGCAAAAAGTTTTTTTCAGTTTTAACAATTTGATTTGTAATTTCTAAAGGTTTTCATCTGATTAGTGTTACATAAAGTAATATACCTCTTGTGTTTTATAATATATCTAATTTCAGAGCTCCATTGGTGTGCAGTTTTCACAGTGTTATTGACAATACTGATGTCCTCCTTTCAGACAGAGCAGTGGTTGCTCTTAAAAGTAGTAATGGGACTCTCTCTAAGACAAACCTGGCTCAAACACAAACAAACATTTACCTAAGCAGAATGGACAGAGGGTAACATTACTGAAATATTTATATATTATCACTTCCCTGCTCTGTTTCAGGTGCTGTATGATGGGCTTTGTCCCATATGTGTGAAGGAGATCCGGCTCCTGCAATTTCTGCAGAAAAACCAGCCTGGGAAAGTAGATTTTGTCGATATCTCACTGCCAGGCTATGATGGAGCAAAATATAGGGACGTCAGCTACGAGATGGCCATGGAGGAAATGCATGTGATTGATGAGAAATACAAGGTATACTTATAGTACATTCCTCTGACTTTACTAGCACTTTAATAATCTGTATGTCAAATCGCCATTTTAGTGTAGTATTATGTATTTCACTGCCAGTTGGCTAACCTCCTCTGTATTTGCAGGTTCACCGTGGAGTCCCAGCATTTGCAGTCATGTACAGTGCCGTGGGCCTTGGCTGGTTGGGTCGCTTCATGATGTGGCCACCTGTGAGACCATTCATGGACAAGTGTTATGCCATCTTTGCCAGGAATCGCTTAAAGTGGACCGGACGCGGGGAGGAGTGCACCACAGGACGGTGTGAAAAGAAATCACAATGACTCTTAACCTCAGAAACACTAAACTATGTGTAATAAGTTAACTGATTGTGAAGAAGAGCTGGATGAATACTGTATGGTTTATCCCGATCAGGCACCGGTTTATTATGAGTGTGTCTGGAAAAGCTCCAAGACTGTTGTTACCTGAAAGGAAATATTGGCTTCCTGATTAAATATGAATGCTGTGAAGACATCATCTGATGCTTTATTTACTTTTAAAACTGTAAGTGTGGGGAAAAAAAAACATACTTCAGCTCAGATGACATCTTCTAAAAATTATCCAAAAATGAAAATGACTAGAGAAAAATAGAGATGTTGATATTGCAAGATACAAGCAAAACAAGATTTTCAAATCAACTAGAAATGGCCTTAATATTAAAAATGTCTTTATTATGTTGAGCGTCTTAATGGGATCCAAAGTAATATGACTAAAAAGCAGATTTATTTTGTCAGAACATTGGTAAAAATGACAGATGAGCAGACGAAAGAAACCAAAAAATATATATTAATCCTAACCAAAACAAACATGACACTGCAAAGAAAGAGCCATACTGCAAAAGACACAGTATGGCGTACTGTATATAAGACTGTCATACTGTGACAAATATACAGTGCAGAGAAAATAACTGAAGCAAAATACAGACAATTTCCTGTTGCACACAGTGTATCAGATTGAGATTGAGTTAAAAGAAGATGGAGAACCAAGCTGCCACTAGATGTCATTGTAAGTCTAAAGTAATGTCAGCTGTGAGCGTGAAATTGTTCCTGGGGAAGTGTGATATATGGCAGTCACGATTGTTGACCAGCTCATGATCGACCTGTTGTCTTTTCTTTATAAGGGTAACAGATATAAGCAGAAATGAGGAGTTCAGTAGATTCTTATTTATACTGCAGGATGAAATCAATATTTAGTGGTTCTGACACTGAAGGTAAAAACCAAAACTGACTGAACTGGCATGATCATTTTAGTTCAAATTACTCTTGTAAGTAATTCTGACAGATACAGACACTCAAGTCTCGAGTTTTTAATCTCACAGGTGCTCCTGCTGTTGGGAGGATGTTTCATCAACAACACATTGCCATGCAGAACAGTATGTGCTTGTCAAAGGTTATATGAGTTATGGCGATAGGACTGTGATGTTTTCAAAACATACTCTGTGATATAAGGCAGACACACATCAGTTTGAGTCACATACTTAAAGTATTTTGCTTTGCTTTTCCACAGCAGAGATTTAAGTCTTTAGATTAGCCTGCAAATTACTGTGTAATTTTGTATATACTATATATATCAATGTAATACTTGTGTGTTATGTGGTACCTATATCTATATCTATATCTAACTGCCTTTTCATGGCATAGCTGGACATATAGGCTATGTCTGCTAGTGCCCTGTTTGTACCAGGTAATTAATACGTACTGGGTCATTTAAAAAAGTACTTAAAGTTAAGTTTAGTTCTAGATAGATAGAAACTTGTTTCTAGGTCCCTCCTAAAGCCAAATATGTTACCCTTTTGTTTCCTGTAACTGTATATTACGTTTCCTTGGTACCCAATATGTTCAAAAAAGCATCGCCACATTTCATTAGATCTATTAACTACTACAGACTTTTAATTGTTTTGTATCACATGTTGTGGCCTGTGCTCAGTTTCTAAGAACTACAGAGCTGGTGACCTGTTTCTGTTTCTGTTGTGCTGTGACGTAGGAATCAGCTAACATCAGCTCACTGAGACCCTTAAGTTCTTACCCCCCTCCCTAATTTTAGACTTGTGCTTCCAAACCGGTAGTCAGCAGTGACAGCACATGACTTTAAGCCTGAGTGGTCTTACAAAGCATTGGTCGTGCTTGCCCACCCCCAGCCCAGCTCAACCAATGAGAGTAAAGTACTGCACGAGAGGGGGGTAGAATTAAGTATCAAAACACAGTAGACATAGTGCTTCTGTCAATTTATCAAAAGTGGTGTACTGGATTTGAAAGACCAGGAAATTGGTTGAAGAGGAATTGTGAAGACAGAAGAAGTAGGTCTTGTGTTTCAGGTAAATCTTGAGTGAATGTTTGCATCAGACATTTTCTGTCAAGGTTAGAGTGGCTATAAGCTACTTTGGTTCATGACCTTCCCCCACTTAAGTGGAAAACAACCATAGTAGATGTTTGACTATTGCATACCTAAGCTGTTTGCCTTGCCTGAGTGTTTTTATGAATGTGCCTTATTTATATTATACATAAAGTACGCTTCCATTTTCTAAGGATATGAGAGCAACTAAGGGCAAAGCTCTGTGTTCTCAAATGTCTGTCACATTGCAGGCATACATCCTAATGCACAATGTAGGGAGTTATTTACAAGCCATGTATACTGATGTATTTGCTTTGAGGTTTCATGTTACATTCTCGAGAGGGGACATAGTACTTGGAAACCATGGAAGTTCAGGTCTATTGTGGGACATTAAGTTTGTACACAATCAGCTCACCCTGAACTCTCCCTTAGCTGTTTATAGGAGTCACACTGTGCCTCTGCTCTAAACAGGCATGCAGTGGAGATATAGATTAATCAGATTTAGCTGATGCACTGGGCGCTTTCGTTCATCTGAAGTTCATCCCTATTGTTTTGCAAGGTAATTCATTTGTTTTGGTTTGCAATGTTTTGTTATTGTATTCACGATTGGATTTAAATAAATCCAATTTGCATGTCATTTTGTCTGAACAACAGACATTTATAGCAGACATTTTTAGCCACAGTAGCAGCAGGGCATGGCAACAAACATTCATGGTTTTCAGATGGTGTATCCTGATGACTTTGGTGATTTCTTGACTTTTTCTCTTGCACAATCTGCAGGTTGACATTGTTGGTTGTTATTGAAATGTCTTTCCAACTATTGGATGCATTGCCATGGAATTTGTTGCATTCTTGTTTCCCAAGGGATTAAGTGTAATAACCTTGATTGCTTGATTTTTCATCTAGCATCATCATTAAGTCACAATTGTCTAATTCTAATTGTCCAATAGTTGTCCATCAGCCTCAGATCATTAGCAAATGTTAGCATGCTTAAACACTAAAATAAGATGGTGAACATTGTAAGCATTATACTTGCTAAGTATTATTGTCAGCATGTTTGCATGCTGATGTTAGGTCTTAGCTCAAAACACCACTGTACCATAATAAAGCCTCACAGAGATGCTCGCATGACTGTACACTCTTAGTTTTATTCCAGTGTCTTTGTTCTGTGTATTTTCCTAGATTCCTGTTGAAAATGCTGCTCTGGCCTAAATCAAGTAAAGCTCAAGAGTGACATTTGGACTTTGATTGATTGCTGCTCACGACATCAGGTCAAACATGGGTCGCTACCTCAGCACCAACCTGTGTTCAAGTTCTATGAATAAGACTTTGAGGTCATACTGCAAAATTAGGTACCTAATGAGCCTTCTCAGAAAGTACCCTCGTCTGGCCAAAGCACCACTCTGCCGGGACCTTCACAGAAATTCACTCCTGTCACCTCCTCATCCTTCCAGATTTACAAGAAAAGCTACTTTTAAAAATTTGAACCACGGTGATACAGGCTCTACCTCTCACCACTTCCTTAGAGATTTTACCGAAGTGAAACATCTCCAGTTTGTGCGTTTTTACTCCTCTTCTAATAGGAATACATTCAAAGCTGCAGCTCCAATTGGGATCTTTGAGGAGGCTCAGAACAGTTTTAATTTGAGTTCCCTGGGAGGACGTCTTGGTCTGTCATTTAATCGATTGTCCAGACACATTAACATTTATTTCAAGAGAAAGGACGTTGAACCTCTAGCAGAAAATGACAGCTTTGATGTCACATCTCCAGAATATCTTGGCAGGTCACAGAGGCGTACTCAAAGTCAACGAGCAGCCAGAGAGCGAAAAATATCTGAGGGCAAAGACACAAAGCAGACCTTGAAAAACACACAGGGGATGGATGGAGGAGGAACAAGTCCTTCAACACAGGGAAATTCTGGGCTGGAACTATTTCACACCAGCTCTTTTGCGACAACATTTGGTGAGAGCTACAGTTATGTTGCTAATCACATTAACTCGGTCTTCTCTCGCAGTTTTGTAAAAGTTCAAATGCAGGAGAATTTGGAAACCGAGTCTTTCACCAGAGGGATGAATAGGAGACAGAAGAGGAAAAAAATGCAAAACACTTACGTAATAAACTCTCAAGAAGCAGAAATGTCTCAAGTAAAATCGGGTGCTGAGAAGGCGGCAGTGGAACTGAACAATATCTCTAGCAGATGGGAGGAGGGCTACCTTCTCTTTGCAAGGCACATCAATAAATACTTTGGTGCCAAGGTTACTGATAACCAAAATCGGCAAAATAATAGCACCTACAAAAAATACTTTTCAGCACAATCTACCTCACAAACTCAAGGTGCCCTACCACAACTGAAGAAAAAAGAGCCTATCATCCCTGAAACTGGAAACATTTTCCACAGCAGTCATAATACCGCTAACTTTGGGGAGAACTATTTCCAAACAGCTGGTCACATCAATAAATATTTCAAGGGTCAAAGTGGATTGGATGAGGATGTTGATAAAAATCCCCTAATAGAGATTGACCCTGGATCTGCTACCTCTGAGAGACTGAAGACTGTATCATTTATGGACTGCCTTCTCCACCCCTCAAGTGCCATCCCTGACTTGCTGGGTACCTATCTAAATCTGGGCCCCTTGACCCAGACTAGTAAGCCCAAGCCTGCCATGACTTCACCAAAGGCAATATTGAATAAAAAGGTGAGAAAGCTACACAGCATGTCCCTTATATCATGAGCTGACATGTCTAATCATTTGCCTTATCTCATTCTTCAAGCTGGTACAGCATCGCAAACTGTAATGCAAATGTTTAAAACTAATATTCTGGTTGTATGTTCTCAGCTTGTCTTGAGTCTGAGGCAGGCAGAGGAAATGACACGAGGGTTGATTGGCAGTCTGGTACAAGCTTCATCTCCAGAAGCTCTGACTGCCTGTGTGGAGGCACTTAATGAACACCTTATTCGTTATCCATCATGCAAAGCTTTAATGTGGCAGGTCTGTTGAAAGTGAAACAATCACGTTTACAAATGTGTAACTGATTTGAGCTCTGTGACTTATAAACAATGTTTCTGTTTCCAGGAGAAAATCGCAGTGACATTGCTGAGAAAGCGACGAACCTACAGAGACAACCAGGTGCTTCAGAGCACCTTAAGAGAAACCTTGGCTCTGATTGGCTATGTGGATCCAGTGAAAGGCCGTGGCATCAGAGTGCTCTCAATTGATGGTGGTGGCACAAGGTAACATCAAGAAAATGGATGATTAATGAATGATAGCCCTTCATGCTGTACACAGAACTAGAGCTGCAACTTATTTTAATAATCAGTTATGATAATGATTGGTTGTTTTGTCTATACAATCTCGTAAAAATAGTGAAATATGTCCATCAAATCTTCAAGTTGCTTGTTTCATCCAACCAACAGCTCAAAATATATATAGTTTACTATCATATAAGGCAAATAAAAGTAGCCAACCCTCACATTTGCAAAGCTGGAAGCAGGGAATGTTTGAAAAACTACTCAAAGAATTAATCATTTATCGGAATAGTTGCTGATTAACTAACCTCAGGTCAACCCAGAACCCTTGTTTAAGATGGTGTCAGTTCTGTATATAACTACATATTTTATAGTCATGACCAAAACCCAGTGTAACAAAAATGTTCAGCTCTTCATGATATGTTAATTCTTGATTTTATTACTTGTCTTTGCCTTTTCCAGAGGCGTGGTGCCTTTGCAGGTGTTAAAGCTACTGGAAGCTGAGACAGGCAAGAAGATCCACCAGCTGTTTGACTACATCTGTGGAGTGAGCACAGGTAACAAACAACAGAACAGAGAGTTACTAAAAATAACAATATATTGTATTCTCTATCCTTCTCAGTTTGAATCTATAATTTCTTGTCTCACTTATGTATCTCTGCGTGTGTTTTATCAAAGGTGCCGTTCTAGCCTTCATGCTGGGTCTGGCACATTTTTCTCTGGAGGAGTGTGCTGAAATGTATCGTCGTTTTGGCTCTGAAGTGTTTCGGCAGAACCGGCTGGTTGGCACCATGAAAATGGGCTGGAGTCACTCTTACTATAACACTGAGACCTGGGAGACAATACTACGGTACACACAGAATAGAATGCAAGAGTTTCAGTGAAGGTAGTGAATTCTCCACATGTTAATATGAGAGCAATACAATCTAGTTTGACAGAATTTTCTGTTTTTATCTTATCTAGCGAAAAGCTGGGAAATAGAGTACTTATTAAAACAGCCAGAAATGAGCTGAGTCCCAAGGTAAGAATACTGCACTTCACATTCACATGTTGAATGGGATACTATGATAATGACATTTTTTTATCCAAAACAGAACAGAAGGGGAGATTGTAACCACATTTCACATTTGGTCGGACGCTGAATTAGTAACTTTTTAGCTATAATTTTCGAATAACATGTACCTGTTTAGCCAATACATCTATGATGATCCTTCATTAATCAGGTAAAATATTTATATTCACTGAAATCATAGGTATCAATAGTGATAACTATATAGTGATAAGCCAAAATTACACTTTACACCTCTTATGTAACTCTTCACCACATACTATGAATTTGCACAGACATAGATATAAACTGAAACCTGACCTGTTTTGTAGAGGCATACAACAGTAACCTAGTAATGTTTGTTTTCAAGCCTTAAAACTGCAGTTTGCATAGGTTTTGTAAAACTTTTATTGCTAACTCTTCAGGTTTCAGCAGTCAGCGCAGTGGTAAACTGGGGTACCAGTCCAAAGGCCTTCGTCTTCCGCAACTACAATCACAAACCAGGCTCTCTCAGCCGCTATGCAGGAGGCTCAGGCTGTCAGATGTGGCAGGCAGTGCGAGCATCATCAGCTGCCCCAGGATACTTCCAGGAGTTCCTCTTACAAAGTGACATTCACCAGGTAGATGTGGAAGATTTAAAATTATGTTACTAAAGACCCATTTATATGTGAGTGGAATAGGTGGTGATGTGATAAATGAATGGTAAGGATGATGTGGGGAGAAGCTACCTTCCCCTTGATAAGATGAAGTTTGCAAATCCTTCTCCCCCAATACCTCACAATAATATATATAATAGTTACAATAGAGTAGAGTACAATTTGTTTATTAATTAATAGCTTAAACTGCATTTTAAGATGGTGCAACCCATTTATAAGAATGGGAAGATAACTTTACTAATCCCTAATGGGGAAATTCTTTTTTCACTGATTTCTTACACACATACAATCATGCACAATTAGGGGTCTGGTGCCTTGCACAAGGGCAGGGCCCAGGAAATGGAAATGGCACCGCTCCAGCTACCAGTCCGCATTCAATACTGTGGTCTGTGCTAGACTTGAACTGACTCCCAAGCCAACTCCCTTCGGACTGAGCTACTGTCACCCATATGTTAATGGAACAATGATTTTCACATAGTCGCCAATTACTAAAACTGAACGACAACATTGTTGTGCTTTGCATTTGACCAAACACACGTTTATGACCTGTGGTGCGCATTAAAGCTATTTTTTGATTAACCATAAATGAGAAAAATGAAAGATAAATAGAATAAAATAAAAAATAAATATGGGAAGAGAAAAAAGTTAAAAGACCCGTCTCTATGTCCCACTTCAGCAAAAAGAAAAAAATACAGAACCGTCCCCATTTTCTGCCCCACTGATAATTTTCATATAGTTCCTAAATGAAATCAGCTGTTTTGATATTACAGTTATGCCTACTAAATTGTTGAGTGGGATTATATATATTTAAGCTTTTATTTAACAAAATAGAAAAATAAGAATCACGATAAGGCTCAGAATGCATTTGAATTAAACAAAATACTTGTACACTTATTATTTATTTCTGTATTCTTTGTAGGATGGTGGAATTATCATGAACAATCCCTGTGCCTTGGCTGTCCATGAGAGCCGTCTGTTGTGGCCCAACCAGTCCTTCCAGTGTGTGCTGTCCCTTGGCACTGGTCGATTTGACAACGTTAAAAGGGGAACTGCCACCTCCACCAGCCTGAGGGCCAAAATCAGCAACCTGATCTGCAGTGCTACTGACACTGAAGGGGTTCACACCCTTTTGGACGATCTGCTGGCTCGTGACGTGTACTTCCGCTTTAACCCCATGTTGAGTGCTGTGGTGTCGCTGGACGAGAGCCGGCCTCAGGCCCTGAACCAGCTGCAGAGAGACACCCAGAACTACCTGGAGAGGAACCGGCCCAAACTGGCGAGGCTTTGTTTGGTGCTCGGGGCAGAGCGCTCAGGTGTTATCAGAACTAAGGACTGGATGAATGAAAGGGCCTGGGAGATGAAGCAGAGATGGGTGTGAGTAGGTTCATTATGAGGCATGTCTACACATAAATGCATACCACATTCACTGATGCACACATACACTGTACAGGCTGTGGAAAAAATAACAGAAACTCTTTAAATTACAACAATTTTTTGATCCCCTGACCCTTAATTTAGCACCACCATGAGGTTGACTTTTTGGATTTTGAGTGAAATGTCTTGATTGAACTATTGAATGGCTTGCCCTGAAACATGGGGATGAATTATAATAACTTAGATAATAATAGATCTCTTAACTTTTCATCTAATGCCATCATCAGGTCAGTTTGTTCATTCACATCAGCCTCTGCTGTATTTTGTGTTTAGTGCTAATTAGCAAATGTTATTATGAGCAAGTAAGTATGCAGACTTTAGAATTTAAAACATTGCTATGACTAAATATAGTCTTAAAGTGCCACTAGTAAGACTATGGACTTACGGTAAGTCTACACAGGAGGCTTTCCATATGCATCAATTTCCTTTTGTTTTACGCACGTAACTACAGTGATTGTGTGTTAGCCAAAACGCAATGACATACTACACCCAGTAAAGTGCTTGAACACATCCTGTGTAGACAGACAAAACACTGCTGCTGCCGCTTTCACTATGCAGGCTCTTTATGTAGGCACGCTGTCAGTTTGGCCTAAAGTTTGTAGTATTAACCAAATATTTTGTTAATATCTTGTCTACTTGAGAGCACCGTATTTGCAGCTGAACTCACAATTACAAAGCCAGCTACAATGAGTATTAAGTTATGTACTGATCAGCGGCATGCATCCACTTTAGAGGAAGTTGACCAATCTTCTTTTTAATGTGATTTTTCAAATAAATATAAGACTTCTTCCAGCTAAGCTGTCATCATATCATAAGATGTTTCTGCTATTTAGTCAACTTCCTGTTATACATGTATCGTATGTTAAATCAATATGATATTGTCAACATGCCTCACTTACATTATATATATCATCTCATATATTTTTTTTTATGATTTCTTGACATAGATGCACAGGACAAATATGCACAACCATGAAATAAGCACTTTCATGCACTTTATTAAAAAAGCTTTGTGTATAGTGCACATGTGACTTAATCCAGTATCTGATTATTACTGTATGTGAAAATGTTGACTCCAATATAAGCTATAAATCTTACTTGTTTGTGACATTACAGCTGATGTAGTATATTATTTTGCTATTGGGCATTTTATGAGTATTTGTTTTGAATAAATTCATATTTATGAAGACTCTTTTCCTTTTTTTCCCCCCCTTTACTGAAAACATAAAACCACCACCACCACCACTTTTCGTCAATCCAATAAATAAATCACCCTGCTCTTGGCAAATGATGTAAGACTTTATCAATGGGTGAGAAGCCATCCAATCACTTGAATGTGACGGGTTAAATCCCCCCCATGTGTCTGGAAGCTGTGCCCTCCCTGTCCACAATAGACTGACTTTGTTCCAGACAGAAACGCTTTGTGTGAGAGAGTGTGCTTTCGTGCCAGCCAGAGTGAAGACACAAGGTCAGTAACCCACCCCCCATCTAATACACAGAAAATCAACAACACACATGAAAAAATACAAAAAATATTTTATCCCTGAGGCAAAATGTAGTTGATTGTTGCTTGATGGGAGCTAGATTACACCTAAATCTAACCTACCAACTAGTGCATGACATGTTAGTTGTGTTTAACTTGATTCTCCCATCACAGTGGAGATGACGTTATATGTATGTGTGGATTTCACAATGGATTTATTATAATAGGCTCTCAGGCCCTGTTTGCCAGGCATGTGACCCAGCCTTGGGAGAGACGTCCTGGGCTACATGAGCCTCTGTTATCTTGCCTGTCACCTGCTTTAAGATGATGGAGTGACAAATAAGACTAAAACCAGATGCTGCTGGAAAGGTGAAGCTCGCTGTGAAGATGATGTTGAGAATCTACTGTGACAGAAGATGAGAAGAAAGTAGCTGTCTGCTTTTACTGCAAGAAGGGGGAAAAGGGACCAAGGAGCAGAGTAAACAAACTACACTCAGAGGTAGGACCCCTCACATTCACCAATTATACTCTGTTTAGCTACTATTGAATATTAATTTATGGATATAAAGGACACAGTTTTAGAGCGCATTAAGACACTACAGAGTAGAATAGAGTGTGTCACCATGTGAAGAAGTGCTTTAGTCCTCGTAGCTGTCGTTCAAGACGCCTATCAATGGAAGTCAAGGTTTTAATGATGTCATAGTCTGAGTTGAGAAGTGGGATGGGTCTACAACTGCCTCAGCAGATTTGTATGACAGTGAACACAATATTGTGCAGCTTTCTCACCTGCCATTGAGATGACTGACAGGAATTTGCATCATTTTCTATGTGCCAGTGTTTCAGTGACAAATGTGATGTGGACTTTATGAACCAGCCTACTTATCTATACTATAGTAGTAGTACAATGATGCACATTTATAGCAATAAATGTCCATCTGTCTTTATATTTTAGCTGTTCTAACAGCTCAGATCTATGGTGTGACAATGTCTGTCTGTCAATTGGTCTACCACTTCATTGGTCCAGACTGAAATATCTTAACAACTTTTTAATGTCATGAAATTTTGTACAAACATTCATAGTCACTGGATGATGAATCATACTGACTTTGGTTAGCGCCAAAAGCTAAAGCTAAAGCTTTGAAGTTAATATTTGTGGTTTTGAGTGAAATGTCTCAACAACCAGCTATTGGTTGAACTGCCATAAAAGTTCTGTACAGTGTAACCATAACAAAAAAAATGTGTTCAGTGTGTTCAGTACTTTAGTTTATAACCAAATAGGCTACCTGCGAAGCTACTGTCATTCCCATCAGTCTTAGCTGTCCTACGTGTTCAGTACTAATTAGCAGATGTTAGCATGCTAACACGCTAAACTAAAACAGTGACCATGGTGAACATTATATCTGCGAGCATTTTAGGTTGCTAACATTAGCATTTAGCTCAAAGCACCGCTGTGCCTAATTAGAGCCTCAGAGATGAGATGCTAGCATGGCTGTAGACTCGTTTTGTTACAGGATTTGAGAAGGTGTTTTGCTGCCGTAGTTTACCGTTCAGAATCACAGTGCTCAAGTTTGTGAGACAATAATGTTTTAATTGCACAGTGGTGATGACGTGATGTAGCACAGAGTCCTGCTCAACGGGAATTTCTCTCTGGCCTCTTGTGCTCTCCCTGATGCAGTGACGTCAAAGTGCAAACGATAGGTGCTCTGAGTCTGAACAGGCATCTTGTGTCCCTCCCACATGCCATCTGCTCTTATCCGAGCCCTGGGCACACGTGCCAAAGGAGACCCGCGAGCATAGAGACCTTCTTGTCGTCACTAAGCTGGCTCTGTCCGCCTCTCTGCCTCTTCACTGTGCAATCTGGTGCATGGCACTGATCACTGCTCACTGCCAGGCCTGCTTCAGTCCAATGTATGGGGGGAAAAGCCCATTCTAAGAGCCAAGAAGCTCAACATACCCCTTCTGCTTTTGTTATCTGTGTGAGGCAAGTCAAGTTGTGTTTCAGTGGTGAACATGGAGGAGGGGACCATGGCCAATGAATCAGCCACAGAGATGTGACTCTTAATGGTTTACGTCACAAGTTGTCAAATAAAATTATGATGAGTAATACGTTTGTACAAACTTTCCACTTTTAGGTCAGACAAATCTTAATTATAAGTTCAACTTCATAACCTCATTTTACCTCCCCCCACCACCAAGCTATTGTTTAGCCCAGTTAGTGCTGGTTTGTATATGCAGCCCTGTGTGGATGCCTGAAAGCCTACACAGGTCAGGACTCCGTCAGCAGCCGTGAGATGGCTTTTGTTTAACACAAATGCAGCTTCTCCTGTGTCTTTGGCACTGCTTGTAGAAAAGAAAACTGTTCCTTCCCTCTGTAGGATTTTCTGGTAATGGTAATGACCTTTTCCTCCTCTGAGGATATGCGTGTGAATGGCTCAGTGTAAATCTGTTTCCCAAAAAAGAGAGTAAGTTCTAATTGGCATTATGGAAAATAGGAGAAAATTGTTTAGCAAAAATGTCAAGTTTAATTTGTCACTGAAAAAAATGTGAATGTTATCTTATATGTAATATTTCATCCTTTGTCAAGGCTGTTGTTCTAGAGTCATGTGATTTGAGATTTGCCACATGTAAAATTCATAGGAGAGAAACAAACATTGCTTTCATACTCCAGTTCCCCAGTTCTCTCCAGTCAACAATAAAGCCCACATTTTGATGTCATCAAAACCAACAGGAATGCAAATTGTACAGAATATGTGTTGTTTTGTGCATTCAGTTGGCCCAACTAAACTGATTTTGTTCACACAGGACCAGGTCAAAGCAAAAATGATTCAGCTATGAGAGAGAAAAATGTGCAACTACTTCAACAACTGTTGGTGTAATAAATGCCAACATTTATTTAATTTCTTGAAACTTCACTTTGTTTATTGTGTGGAAAAACTTTGCGACTGTGTTCTCATGAAGATGGATTGTTCAGAATTATGAGAGCCCGTTCAGAAAAGTGAGGAGAAGTGGGTGATGAGTGGGTGGTGTATGGCGCTCATTCATTATTCATGAGATGGGTGGGCAGAATGTAAGTGGCAGTGACAGACAGAAACTCTATTACTAAAGTGTATCAACTCTTCTAGGGTTCTTGACCTGATATTTGAAGGACCGATCGAGGCATTAATTGTTATACTGCACAAACAAGAATCATTTTGTGAAGAACAGTAATTGGAATTATCGGGGCATTGGGGAAGCCACAGATATGGGGAGGAGAGAGCCCTGATTTGACTTTACATGAGAGAGGTAGGTATTGACAACTTTTTGTTTTGCTCATACTAACATGACTCATGGTTCATTACGTATTTATAGCCATAATGTGGTGAAGAGAGGCATCTAATTAAACACTTTTTAGTCTTGTAGTCTGTACTATACAACTGTACGGCACTGTGATCTAGTCTAGGTCTGGCAGTGGAGAGTCAGTGGTGTCAGTTTTTACTTTTTGTTTCATAACATTTAACTGACAGCTATAGTTATTTTTCAGATTTTTAAAAATGTTTATATTGGAAAATAATACATTGTTATTTATTAAACCTTTTTGGCTTGTGATCCCTTACTTGTGGCCCCTGTGTCAAGTGTTTTAGAAGTATATAAGTTGTTAGCATATTCATCTAAGAGGGATTTTCCCTCTGAACATCTAAGATGGTTTTATTTAAATATCCGTTTGACACTCAAGGGGATAAAAAGATCTAAAATGCAAAGATTAGAGAAAATGTATTAATCATTTTTATCACCGCTCAGATCTATCTTGTGATCCTTTAAAGGGTGCTTGACCCCTATGTTGGAAAGCACTGGATTAAAATACCAAACTGCATATAAAGTAGTTCAAATTAGATCCACCTTAAAAATTAATGCATCAGTACTATTACTCTATAATTGAATGAATAATAAAACAACACTCACAGGCACCATTTTTCTGCAGAATGAGTATTTTATTTTAAAACTTTTAATATATTTGGCTGATAATACTACTTTAGTACTTTGTCATTTTAAGTAGGATTTTGAATAATTTACTTTTACTTACCAATGCCACAATTTTGACATTGTTTTATTACTACATTTAAAGGATGTGAGTACTTTTCCCACCATGTTCTCTCAAGAATACATATACTGTTATTTGTTCTGATTTTAACTGCATGACATGAGTGTATTGTACAGTCGATGTCTTCTTTTGTCTCTTCTATTTTTCTGAGAACAGGAGGATTGGTGAGGAAAAGTGCTGCTGGATTCCATGCGCTGTGAAGATGGGGACACTGGTCGAACCAGTGCTGCTGCTACTTTTATGGCAGGGTGTTTGGGCTTTGGACATCCCTCTGGAAGGTGAGTCAGTGTGTGAATGTGTGATACGTATTGTCTAATCCCATTGATTTCTAATATAAAAAGCTGATTTATTTCTCTGCCTGCAGTCAGGCAACCACCAACCATCATAAAGCAGTCAATGAAGGAGCATATTGTTGACCCCAAAGACACCATGGTCATAGAATGTGAAGCCAAAGGAAACCCTCATCCCATGTAAGAGCTGATTTAGCAGTTTTGTTAAAACTGACATCATTATCTGCAAACCATCTCATTGTTTTTTTTTCTGTCTTTCTTTGCACTTTTCCCTCATTCATGAAGTTTCTCATGGAGACGTAATGGGAAGTATTACAACGTGGCACGTGACCCTCAAG